TTGGTGGTTTTTATGAAGTACTTATCGGACTTGTAAAGCAATGTCTTCGAAAGAGTATTAGAAAGATTTGTCTTACTATGGTTCAACTGGAAATGGTTGTAAAAGAAGACAAAGCAGTGGTCAATTCCCAGCCATTAGTCTATGTAGGAGCTGACTTCAGCTCTGAATTCACACTCACCCCAGGAGATTTCCTCAGCCTAAACCCCAAACAGGCATACCATCCTTAGCAGAAGAAGATCAACAACAAGACCCAGATTTCCTTAGCAAGTTGAGTTCTTCCCAAAAACTCTTTGACATGTGGCATAAAGGTCAAAAACATCTTGACATGTTTTGGAAGCTATGGTTCGATGAATATGTACTGAGTTTGTGTGAATGGACCCAGAAACACTTAAAAGCTCCTAGGACACAATCTTCAATGCAACCTACGAAAGGAGACATTGTACTTCTAAAGGAAAGTTCACCATGAGGTACCTGGAAGTTAGCCATTGTAGAGGAACTCATTTCAAGTACAGACAGGGAAATCAGAGCAGCTACAGTCCAAACAGCATCAGGAAAGTTACTAAACCGTATGCGCAACTTCCTGTTCCCCTGGAATGTGCTGAACAAAGAGAGACCCCAGTCCAGCCCAGTCGAAGTGAGGATGACCAGTCACCAGAGGAGTGGACAGAAACTTGGAAATGAGCACCCAATCCAGAGGGCAGCTGTTAAAGCAAGACAAGCCCTAAACAAACTGGTGAACATTTAATCTGGATCGCAAATTGTATCCTTTCTTTTATTTTCTCTCTGTAATAACTCCATTTCATACTGTTGAAATTTCCTTTTATCCCGAACGTTAAGAGTTAGAACCTCTCGGCTGGGGAGTGTTGTGGAGGGCCTAGCAACCACTCCACAAGACTATAGGCTTAGTGACCACTCCTGCAGAGCATGTGCTCGAAGCGAGAATCTTACTCCATGTTATAAAAATCAGTCGATCATGTGAGTAAAGAAAATCATGTTTGCGACAACTTATGCAGCTCATAACATTTTGCAGTGGCTCATCAGGCCGGAGCTTATCCTGGTTTCTGCAGCATGAAGCGACTAGGAGTATTTCTACTCCCCTCTGGATGGGATGCCTGTCCATCGCAGGGTTACCCCCAGCATTAAGTTTGCCTGTACCCATTTATACACCTGGGTGGAGAGAGACACTGTGAGAGTAAAGTGTCCTGCCCAAGAACACAACATAATGTCGCTGGCCAAGGCTCAACCCTAGAACACTCATTCTGGCATATGGCCACCAGCCTCCCACCGATGCTACGATAATTGTATCAAACAAATGCCAAAACATCGATGAGCAAGTGGTGGCCACTTTCGTGATGCAAATGATTACTATTGCAAAAGAATAACCTATTTGAAACACCCTTAATTTTAGATTTATGGGTTTGTAACTCAAGAATGACTCCTGCAACCTTTTTTCTTAATTGAATTCTAATCAGCATGTCAAGTTTTGAGTCTTTGGTAAGTGTAAAAAAATGGTGGAAGCAGATCCAGGACCACCTCAAATTTTTGGAAAATTTAAGGTGGTTGTAAATCAATTCTGATAATCTTTATCGATTCTGAAGTGAGATCTGTTCCATCTGAAACTTTTTAAATTTTTTTCTTAAGACCTGAAGTATTGGTCTAATAGACATAAAGACTTGCGATGGCCTGCATTCACTTTGGTCAAGGCAAGGCAAGTCCACAGAAGTTGCTCTCCCTTTGGCCACCCATCGGCGGCCAACACAAATTGATTGCACGTCATTCGTTACAGGGCTGCAAATAAACATGAAATGCGTTTGCCCTCTCAACACAAGTCTGGATGCAAGTTCAACTTTCAATTACTTGGGACAACTTTCGCCTAGAATTACAGAGGCATTGCGCTTCTGTAGCTCGCTACTATTTTCTGACAGTAATAAACTTTACAAGAATTTCATTAATAGTTATAAATATAGTGATTATGTAACAAAATAGTTACATATCATGACAGTATACGATACATCATTCAGCATTGATCTCTCACAAGACATCACAACTCCAAAACCACCTTCCCAGGGGGAAAAAATTGATATCCAATTTTCAGGCCTACAAAATTGGTAAATGGCTTTAATGTATGGCCACCGCAAACCAGAAAAAGACCCCATCCGCCCAAACATTTGAGAAGGGCTACAAATTTGCCAATGTTAATGCGGAAATAATCGATTCCTTGTAAACAACATACCCAATGCCAAGCCAGAGTGAAAAATACCCCTATTTCAGACCAATATGGTCAGAATCTACACCTTTTTCAGACATAAACAACTCAAAAACCATATTCTTTGGGGCCTCACATACCTTTGATAGCCCATATATTCAATGTTTCAAAAAAGAAAAGAGATCATTAATTCACAAATGTAATAAGTGCTATGAATTTTCTAATTTTTTTCTGTACAAAAATGGTAAATGTTATTTTGTAGTTTTATTAGTTAACGTTCAAACCGTTATTGCAACTAGACCAACACCTCCCATAAGAGAGTAAGGTGCACTAGACATACTATTACTATCACTATTACTATAGGGGAGTAATCCCCACCCCACCCTCACCTGAGCCCAAAACTCATGAAAACACAGTTTATCTGCCAGGGAAATTTCACGTTTTGATTTTTAAAATAAAAATTGTTTGCTTTGAATGTCTTTTGATTCATTATTTGGCAACACATGACAAAATCCTATCAAGTGACCATTGTGTGATAGACAAATTAAGTCAACATTGGACGCCATATTTGCATTTCAGCATGCAGCATGAATGAGGACAACAGCACATAAGTATTTTGCTTTAGCAAGCAAGGGACTGATGCTGAAAGGCTTCACTACTTTTATTGATAGAACAGGGGATAGTAATGTGGTGGATTATCTCGCAGTCATCAATTGAATGTCAATAAGAAGATGATGTACTTTGCCGAACTCCACACATCGCAATGCTTATCGTATTAGTATCACCCAACTAGTGGACTAATGCAAATCCTGCATTTTAATTGGCTACGCTACTAGAGGACTATTAGTAATAGTCCTCCAGTAGTGAAATTGGCACAATCGAGCGTGACCCTTTCTTTCGTTTTATTCCCAAAGAAGTATTTCTTTGACTTGCATTTGCTAACTTTATTATTGCCTTTTCTGTCCAACTAGTTGGGTGATACTAAAACAATTAGACCCTTCACCCTCAAGGGCCTTGGGTCAATAGCCCATGAGGCGAAGCCGAATGAGCTACAGGACTACAGGGCTACATGACTATGGGCTACGCAGTGTTTTAGCCAGAAAATCTTACTTGAGGGCCAAAGTGGCCCCTGAAGATCTTTTTAGGGGCCAATTTTTTAGGAAATGGGAGGAAAAAATGCATTAGAGTACCAAGGAAAATAAAGCAGTTTATTAGGATCTATGATAAAATTTAATAGTAAGTGCTTTTTAAAGTGTTTCTACTCAATAAAGTTTCTTTTGAATCAGGTAATAGTATGAAGGATCCCTAAATTACAAGAGAACAACCCATAGGCATACACGATGTTAGTCAATGATCAAGGGTTTGCAATGCATTATAGGGCGATTTCAAGCATGGTCAGCCATTTGGAAGTTTTCCGCTGTGAGAGAGTCAATACAGCAAAGCAAAAGGATGGATTGACTTCTTTTCTTATGTTGAATGTTTTAGAAAGGAAGATCTTTCAATATAATTTTCTAGAGGGACATATTGTGTGACAAAATAACCGTTATTGATTGTCAGCGCACAGAAATGTAGTCACCATAATGGCAACTGAGCCAGAAGTTTTGGTTGCCAAAGATGAAATGGTAATTGCATTGGCAACAGTATCGGTCACAATTTGGAGACCTGGGATGGCTTTTATAGTGCATATGACATGAAAAATTATTTCCATGTATTTGAAAGGCCTTTAAAAATACAGAAGAATGGCATTTTTTTTTTTAATATCTTTTTTCATTTTAGAGATATTGACATTTTTCTATTATGCAAATTAGATCAGTGATGATATCATATTTGCAACTAAAAAGTGGTAAAATACTGAATAAACAATATCTCTCGATGTTTAATTAAGTTCATTCTATTTTCGTTTCACTGTTGTTAATTTTGTTTGCTATTGAAATTTCCGCATAATCCAGTGTGTTTTATGTATAATCGATGCATTTTTCTGCATTCCCCCCAAAAAATTTCCACATAATTTGATCTTTTTTCTGCACCCTGTCAGGTGGCATGTTTTAAAGGTGATTTCCATACTGTGCACTCTTGAGAGTTTGTTTACGTTTTTGTTTTGTTTCATACAAGACATCACAAAATGTAAACATTTCACAACTACTTACATGAAGTAAATTCAAAGTTTAATGTCAACCGCCATTATGGATGCGAAGCTTTATGTTTCATTCTTCCCCAAATCACTTGATGAAACAACTTTGCAGCTGTCAAAATCAATGAAGCTGTTGGAAAAAGAAATTGAAAGCCCTCAAAGATAAGGTATGTGGTTCGTAACAAATAACATTGTTTTGCTTTCCATCGAGTGAGACTTTTTATGTCTATAAACATTAGGGTGCTGAGACTGTGCCGTACGGACTGGAAATCATCTTTAATACTCCTCAATCTTCTACAACAGATTGGTTGATTGATTGACTGATTTCTGCCTTGATGATACTGATTCATAAAGATATTCTGCACTAAATTTCCTCTATCTTTTTTCTGTTCTGTTATGCGTGAAGGTGCTCAGATTGCAAACTAAGAATACATCCAGTTATCTGGGTATACACTACTACATTAAATTTTGTGACATGTAAAAGGGGTATTTAACACAGTCTGTGACACATTATGACAGACACATGACATATCTCACAGACAGTTAAATACTTCTCTGCAGAAAATTATTCTACAGAAAAATTTAGTAAGTTCAATCAGTAAAGCCTTTCAATGGGAATGTCATTGTTTTATGTTAATGGTATTTTTGTCAATATATTTTCAGCCTGGAAAGGTTGCCTACATTACAGTACCAACTGATAGGCGAGTTGCACACATTGTTAGAGTACCCATCATGCTCTGCAATAAGCAGGTCAAACCTTTTGCAGATGATGGCTATCAGCATGTTTGCTATTGACAACACTGCAGCACAAGGTTAGTTACTCTGTAAGTCACATCAGCCTCTTCTATACATGTAGCTTGCTTCCAAAACACATCCTGGACAAATAGTCTAAACCTCCTGGATGTTGGAAAGGTAAATATTAAACAATTTCACCGACATAGGGAACTTCAAAGCTTTTCTCAAAGGTGCCAGTCCTAAAAATGTTGTCTGCATATAGAAGAGAAATAATGCAAATGAAAACTAAGGGCTGCTACATGTAAGTTGATCAATGTTGCATTGTATTTCTTACAAACCGCTGGCTGTTCATCCTGCAACATGGCCATATCTCTTCCTCAATAACCATCAACCCTGGCAGGTTCACCAATGGGTGCTCTCCTACATGTATCAATTTCATTGGTTTGTTTTCTTCATTACCTTTTGCTTTATCTCTTTTCAAGTTCAAATGGTACTGTAGATCATGAACCAACTGTTTAATTATTTCCCTTTGCTCATCTTTTCCAGGCTTACCTGCTCTACACCTTAGCTTCAATAAGGATTCATATAAGTTTCTTTTCTTTGCTATATAGATGCAACAGAACAGTATGTCAGAGTGGGTACACCCCAGGACCAAGCCATGAATCTGGCTGTTGAGATGTTTATTTTGCTGCTTAAAACCTGCTGTACTCTGCTACAGGGTATAGACTTTGAGGTGAAGAACACTTGCAAAGGCCTGAGTGCACCCTTAAGACAGTTTCTACCTGCCATTAAAGTGTTTGCTGACTGGCTGGTGTGCCGTGTTGATCTGTGGCAAGTGTCCTCTATTAGGTAAGAGATAACAGTTCTTCATAGGATCACCTGAATCTTTCAGTTGATATCAGAGCTCCTGTGCACCGAAGGCACGCAAGCAGAACCCCATACCTTAGAAAATTTGGTAACACATCAATGTCAAAAAATTTTGGTTATCACATGACTGTCCTCATGTACGTACATATGTCCGTACGCCAAGCCCACTACCTTGAAAAATAAGAGAGTAGCACATTATCTTAGGCGCATCTTTGATATTGGACATCCATGTTATGGTTAATTGACAGCTATCAAAACAAGGTTTCTGCTGACCAGTATCATGTGACCATACAGGGCTCGAAATTGCGACCGATACGGTCGCCAATGCGACTAACATTTTCTCTTTGGCGACTAAAAATTCTGGTTTAGTCGTCAATGTGGCGACCAGATTTTTCTATGATTTAGATTTAAATTAGAAGATTAAAGGTAAAACAAACATTTTGTCTCGTCTTGCTTTGCTTTCGTCGTCAAAAAAAAACGGGCCAAATCACAAAAACAAAGCGAGTTTACCTCCAAATTCTACCAACTTCTGTCCACGATATTTTCGACGCCATTACAGCTATTCCCTTGGTAACATGGGTGCAGAATTTTGCAAAAAGACTGCTGGAACGAAGTGTTTGATTTTCACATATTCACGTGGTTTCCGCTTGGGTTTCCACCAGTTTCCGAGAGGACACGTGCGAGACAATGTAAATCATCATGCATAACAAATTAGCTAGCGAGGAAGATTTACTGCATCATTTACTGTGCCTTTGTTTCAGTGGCAATTGGTTTCCTTACAAAGAGGAGATCTGGTAATGAATGGAATCGGCCATGTTGATTCCTTTGTACGTGTTATCTCCATACAGTCATGTTTCTCTCCCGTAAGCTACAAAGATAGTGGCTAGAAACTCTTATTTACTTATTAAGTTTGGGTAAGATTGTTTTGTATAACTATGTTAGTTTTTTGTCCTCGTATTTTCGTAATTACTTGTGCAAGTGAGTTCCACGCGACCAGAAACCGGATGATGAAGTTAAACAAGCTTAAACACTTTCAACCAGCCCCAAAATTAATATTCTATTGATTATACAAACTGGCGACTAAAAATTTGCATCTGGCGACTAAATTTCTCCAGTTGGTCACCAAAAGGCGGCCTTACGATTTTTTTAATTCGAGCCCTGCCATATCATGGAATCAGGTTTAGAGTTCATCAAGGTCGTGTTTTTTTTTGAAGTTGACTGCTGACCGGGTACTGGTTTTTGATTGGATCACAGGCTCAAGTCAGGTTATATATTGGGAGAGAAGGAGGGAGTATGTGCAAACAAAGGCAAAATCTCAGCACAAATTAACCCCTGGCACATTGTTGACTTTTCTTCCGACATATTCCAAGTGCACAATCGTCTCTTGGAAAGTCTCTGATATATGCATTTATAATTTCTACAATCTTGGTTATGCTTATTGGGTATAGTTCGTGAAAAGTTAACTGGAAAAAATAGCGAATCCACGCACTGAACAATTACATGCTCACAAATGATCATTTTCAGCTCATGGATGACATCATTCATGGGCCTTTACCAGGTAGTCCGATGGCGCTCAATCACTCACTCACTCACTCACTCACCCCATTCTAATTAATTTATTCATTAATTAAACCTGGATTAAACATTTTTCCTCCTTCCTCCCCTGCTAAGTACTGGTTTTGTCAGAGAGTTTTCAGCCCATGTTTGGCAGGTTTCAGGGGGACTAGAAAGTCATACATTTTGGTCCGATATCAGGGAGAGCCTGGGTACAATTTTCTTGAAGACCTCTCAAGTTGAGATCGACTATTTCGGGTTCATGTGTGTTGCTTCTGTTAATATGTAGTACTTTGGCTATGGGCTTTTGCTCACATGTAGATGACAGCTGAGAGAGGTACTGGTACATTTATAACTGTGGTCATGTATCAGTCACAACAGTGTGGCTGGCAAGGTCAAAGAATTTATACAAGACAAATTTAGAAAGTCAGATTGTGTTTAGCAGTGTAGAAGCTTTTTTCCTGGCTAGAGAATTTGATGGTTTCCACTTGCTTTCTCTCCTTGTAGAGTCTAAGGTAAGTCTAAGTTCTTGTTAAGTTTTGGCTTCATTGTTTCTGTATTGTATTATTTTTAATTTACACATTGAAATTCTGGCGGTACTCGTTTCAGAAGTTCGAAATCCCTGCTTTAATTTGTGTTCTAAAATAAGCTTGCTTCAAGCAAAAAAATTCAAATTGCTTTGTTTTTTAATTTTGTTTTTCACACTACATTTCTTCCTTATTCTATGCAGTTCAACCAGAGTGAACATTTCTTCACAGATGGTATACAAGTCAGGATCCACGATTGAGTAAATATACTCTACAATTTGAGTGATGGATAGACAAATTAACATCCAAGACACTGTATGTGTAGATCTACTTTTTGCGAGAGAGATTTACTGTCCAATCATGTCAAACACAAGCCCTGTCAAACGCACATGGTGGCTGGTGATGTATGTATCTTATCTTATGTAGAGTTTTATTTTGCTTCTAGAAACTAGATATGCAAACAATTGGAATAAAACTTGAAATAAATATAGATTGTACTTGTCAACAATCCTTTTGAAAATTTCTGCATTGCTAGTGAAATAAACACAAACTTGTCAAGAAAATAATAAAATACTATGATTTCCATTTCAAGAAATAAAATTGTTATTTTTATTGTGTACATTACAATCTTCAATACCCTTTTTATTTTGTTATAGCTGGGTAAAGGTACACTTTTTATCAGGCAGGAGGTATGATTAAAAGGCAGGGATTTCAAACAATTGCAAATTTACCCATGAAAAGAGATATAGTGGGTCTACTGTAGGTATGTGAAAAGGGTTTCAAGCTGGAAGCTACATGTATGTAACAGTGTAACCTTTTCTGAAAAAAAAAACGCTTTACAAAAGGGAAGGAATTTGGACCTTGGGGCGGAGCCTCCTGGTATAAAACTTTATTAAGTCCATTCCCTCTCTCCTTAGGCATAGTTATATGGAGAAAACAAATATTGTAAATAAAAGCATCCCCTTCACTCAAGGTCAAAACAAAATTGAACTTTTTTGGTATAAGATTTAGCTGGGGGTTTTCATGGCAGAGTATTATTTTCAGCCAAATTTTTTGTGGGATTATACAATATAACTGCATAATCCCATATAGTTATAGGTCATGTTGAAGGTCTGAGGATTTTATGAAACCTGAGAATCTCTCCTCTGATGAGAGTTAATAGTTAATGAAGATAGTGAAAACTAACTTGAAGATAGTGAAAACTTGAGACATAAGTGGATCATCGCATTTCACAAAGCAGCAGAGAAGATGATATTTTTGAATGTAATCCTCTTTTACTTCTAGTCAAATCTTTTCTAAAGGGCTCAAACAGACCCAGGAACACAAGCAAATAAATGCACAACCTGAAGTATGAAATGTTTTCAGACCAAAGCAAATTTCACTTTGGGTGACGGCAAAGATTAAATTTGCTAGGGCAACGTTTAGCGGTTCTTCTGTACTAAAAATTGCTTGTAAACACAATGAAAGTGCCCAGCATAAATACTTGTGAAGCAAAGAAAGGTCAGGTTGAGAGACTGAAAAGAGAATGCCGAGCAAGTAGATTTCCAAGAGCTCAAATTGATAGCATGCTTTACATATTTTTCAAGTTCATTGACAGCAAATTAAAAAAAACAAACAGAACAGCATTGATGGTAATATCATATTCGAAGGTAGTATTCCCACTTTTCACTTGTTTGTTCAATCTCTCTGCCTTGAAAAGGAAAGAAAACATCTGCTACACTGGCTATATTCAAAATGTTTCCTAGTTTGATCTCTGTGCATAGAAAAGGAAAGAAAACATCTGCTTTTCAAATCAATGCGAATTTCAATTTGGGTGCATGAGAAGATTTTCATGAACACAAAATTGAATGAAAGCTTTAAAATTGCCTACAGGCCAAAATTTAAGCCACTTCTTTTGTTTACATTTTTCATTTCTTGCTGAGTTTGCGTATTGGTGGGGGATGATATTGAGAGGGTGTCAGATCAAAACATGACACAATAGTCATGCAAATATACCTCATAGAGTTCTTTTTTAGTTAAAAGAAACGATTTGGAGAATAAAAAAGTTGCAGCTGTTGTTTTTGGTGAGCGAGATGATTTTCAAAAACTTAAATCAGTTGCTAATGGTATTGCAGAAAGGAGCCAAAACAAGTCGCAAAAAGATTGGCATGGATCAGTCAACACTGTCAGTTCATTGTCGATGGTAAAGTCAAAAATTGCTGACATGAATGTTTTTGGATCACTTTAAAGTATGTCTTAAGATTTTTAGTTAAGCACTAGAAACAAACAATATTCATGCTGTCAGTGAAACAAATCAATATGGTTTATCAAGCGGCATACCATGGTTATCAAGCAGCATAGTAAAAACTAATTACATCCATTTTGTCTCATGATGAAAAATTTTCATGAGTTAAAAATAATCATTTCCAACCAAACAAGTATAAACAAGGATTAAAAAAACCAATGTAATATTTTTGGACTACAACAGTAATCAACATTTTAGCTGAAATTGTGATATTTTTGCAATAAAATTGAATTACCTCAATGCCTTGTTGTTTTTACTTTTGTCATCTCACTTCTCAGCTAGATTCCGAAGCCTTTTTAGCAAGGTATCACTTTTTGGTTTTCCTCTCCTGAGAAGGGCCTTCTCCTCAACGATTTTCAAAATGGTGGCTCGTCTGGAGAAGACCCTGGCAAAGGCTGGGTCATGTGGTACAAAATCTCTGAAAAAACTTGGAGATTTTAATCACGTGAAATTTTGAGAAGACCAAGACAAAATGGCAGCCAAAGTTGTGTTCAAAATTTACCTTAGAACGTGGAAATGTTATGCACAAGACAGTGATGACTTCCTAGAAAGATAGCACATTATTTTCGCTGGTATTTTTCTTGCACAGTGAAATTAAACGAGGATATCAAAAACCATTAAAAGGCCTTGAAATGTTTCTGATGTTTAAACAAAAGGTGTAGCTTATGTTGGCAAGATGTGGGTGTTTCGAGAAACCAAAAAGTTTCTTGGAAATGTCAGACAATCTGTGGCAAAGGTCAAGTAATTTATGCAGCTTACAGGAAGTTGTTTCGGGATAAGTGACGGAGTGTTTGAAACATTTAGAGTTGAAATGCTTTGACAACGCTGGGCTGGGGTGAGGAAAAAAACTCCTGATATAAATTGTCTTTTTGCAAACCAAATTTGCAATCTTACCGTTGGTTTTCATTACTATTTAGCACTTAAGTATGATGGATATTTCTTTTTGTAGCCAAAGACACCTTGGAATATCTTAAACCTACAATGTGTTTTACACTTCTGAAAAAGTTAGTGCTACCTACACTTTATCACATAGTCTTGTGGATCGTTTTATACCACCTATTACTGCCTCATTCATGTTTATGAATTAAGCAAATGTTGTGTGCAACAGTGGTGCAATTCTTGCACCTTTCAAATTTTTTTCATTGCTTCTTGTCCAGTTCTGGCTCTTTCTCTGTCATGAAATGTCAGGGTTTAATTTTAGAAACTTCAGGAGCCAGTTAGGCATGAAACGAACAAGGGTTCTATTGAATTTATCGGTGATCGGATGCTTCAGCACAAGCAAAATGGCTGTAGAGTCTTGTTCACAAGGCATCAATCAACAAAAGAGTGTCATGCTTCTTTGATATTCTGATTGGTTGTCTAGATATTCACATCTAAAGTTGGAGTAGCAAAAAATATGCAAGATGTGTTGTGTAAATGGACACCACAGAAAAAACGTAATAAATATCAAAATTTCGAGACACACTTTCATTTGTCATTATCCCTGGAATGTTTGGGCAAAACTTCACGAAAATCGGCCAATTCTGCATACCCTATAAATTCAAAAGAGTAAACAGTATTCTGCAACAAATTTCCTACTTAAAAGTTGTAACAACCTATCTATGTTGATACCAGAAATCCAAAAAATTATGTTACATAATTCACCTATTTCTACACCTTTATCTTACATACATACATACATACATACACGCATACAGTATTGTGCAAAAGTAATGAGAGCGTAATTCGACGAAATTCACGAATTTCGGGGCTTTTCGACGAAAAATGGCGAAGTTTTGTTCACTGCGAAAGTTCAAAGAAAATTCGATGAATTTTCCCGCTGCCCATTGTTTTAGTCGAAGCGAATTTTTGAGCAGTAATTTGTGTCTGTTGATAATTTGGTCCGATTTTTTGAGTGAAAATTCGCTCTCCTCAAATTTTCCTTCGAACTTTCTAGCAAAAATTTGCTCTGTTCCTTAAGTTTCCCATCAATTCCCAGTAGTAAGATGAATTAAGCCAGAGCAAAACAAGAACGTGCGCAATAAAAATGTTAATATCATCGTGAGTGATAGTAATATCTCAAAGCCTTTTCTCACAAACTTACCTTGCTTATGTCCAGAGAAAGCTGATATCACTTTGTTTGTTGCAGTCTTAAAGCTTGCAAGCTCAAATGGTCTGTTTGCCAACCTGTTTTCATCGAACAAGGAATGCTACTCGCGAAAGTACTCACAGTGCAGCCACAATGAACCCAGGTCTGCGCAACCTTGCAATATTACCGTCGAAGGTTCGAAGCTATTATCGAACTATTCAGGCCAGTCTCTTACAGATCTGTTTAACCCGGCTGAAGACTTTTTAACCTGTAGTTTTAGTAACATTCAAGCTGTATTGATTGTTATAAATCAGTTACGCTTCCTCCCCCCGTTAGTGTTCGTACAAAAAAAAATCTTAGCAGGAGGGGTAGTGTAGCAGAGAACTGCTGTCGTAAATAATGAGGTGCTCTTGCATGCAAAATAATTCTAGGTGAGGTATTGAAATAAATGACCACACACACAAGTGAAGGTAAACTTTTATTTAGACGTTGGCGAATTGACCAGTAGGATGTTGGTGAAGCGACTTAGGACGCTGGCAAATCGACCTACGATGTTGGCGAATGAGACGTTGGCGAAACGACCTGTTACCGTGTCTTTCCCTTTTGCACTTGCCATCCGAACATCTCTGCACTTTTCCTTCCCAACGTGATAACAGCTGAGGAAACTGGGCACATGGAGACCTGGCACTAGATAAACAACATGTCTGCTTGTCCATCGATCACTGAATTTGATGTCACTTTGGATGAATTTTGAGGTGAAGTAGGCCTTCAAAAAGACCTTATTAAGAATTTTACTTTCATCCGAGTTTACCCGGACTAGCAGTCCGACTTTTGTACCTGCCTTGCTGGCAGGGTGACATGGCAAAACTTAGGTTAGCGAGTTCATGTCATTGAAAACAATCAAAGGATTCAAATTCTCTACGTTCTTTGCCATGAAAGATGGATTAACACATTAACAACAGCGAATTTTATAGAAGAGTAAAGCGTCAATGTGACCATAATTGTTCACAAGAGAACGATACATTGATGGCTTGATACTGGTCAGCGCACTGCACTGCGATATTTCGCATACTGCAAGCGGAATTACCCCTCTGGTAAGGAATTGTCGCTCTGGTCTTGAAAATCCCGCAAATTTTCATCCTTGTTGTAAAGAAATAATGCTCAAGACAATGCGAAAAGACACTTGAATTTTCGTGTGAACTTTCTTTGAAAGTTCGCAGCGACAAAGAACGAAATTCGCGCATTTCGCTCTCATTACTTTTGCACAATACTGTACATACATAATTTATTTGGTAAAGCAGGTTGGGAAACTGGCAAGACATTAAGTCCTGATGTGGACCTGCACTATCTAAAATGATTAATTAATATACACATAAATATTAAATGATAATGGATGAAAAAATAATCTTTCCAGTGATCACCTCACTTGTAGTAATAGACCAATTTTGATATATTAAAATTCAGCCTGAAACAATAGACCTCAGTACAAGGCTCTGGGGAATAACTGCAATAACTTATTATTAGAGTTTGTAGGGTTTATTCCCCAGAGCCCCATGCTGAGGCCTTTTGTGTTGGGCTGAATTTTAATACATCGAAATTGGTCTATTCAACTACCAGATACTTATATTTAAAAACAAAAATCTCTGACCGAATGTAATAAAACTATGCCTAAGCCCACAAGTACGCATTGCAGACCTATTTTTCAAGTAGATCTATCTGGGAGGGATGCTGAAAACTGTCTGAAAAGATTCTTATAATATTTCAAGAAACACTTTTCTCTCTATTCCCATTTACCAGCTAGCTAAAATCAAATTGTTTACATTTGCCACGGCATGAAATAAACAAGAGTTTGGCAATATCCATGTCCCACTAAAGTAAAATTGTGCAAAATATTCTGGCCATTCTCAAGCTGATTGTCTTAAAATATAAATGTCAAAACCATGTGACGTATTTTCTGCATAATAGCATTTAGCTGTTTCGTAATACCATAGTTGAATGTTAAATGAACAAAGACCACAACCAAATTACCTTGACCCAAAATGCACTGCTGACTCGCTAATATTATACATTGTACATGTTATAACCAACTCCTCTGACTGGGTGTCAATTTTGGACTGGTGAATATATGGTGAATTCTCATTTAATGTTTCATTGTGCAACAGACTGTAGATGTTATTTGACACTAGTCTCTCAGAAGAGAGCAAGGAACTATGATGACATGTGCAATGTTCCTTTGCCAATCAAAATAATATATTCCATTTTAAAATTCATAAGCAGGTGGTATAAACAGCCTGTAGTTTAATCTTTGTATACTTACCTAGTTACGCAGTACATGTACTACTTGAGCTTTCAAAAAAGCTTTCAAAAAGTCATGTCAAAAATTATCAGCTATAAACTAATTATATCAAGTAAATGTAAGCAGGCACATGTATGCTCTGCGGACCTATATTTTGCCTTGTCGAGTACTCTTCAACGTTCCAAATAACTTTCAATACTCCTAATCCACCAATTCCTCCTTTTTATTCGACTACTTTTTCTAGACTAATCCAATTCATCCATGAGCTGGCTCACAAGAGCCTTTGATTTACGTTTATGATCCAAGAAGAGCAAATCCTCGTTTTCCTTTACGGTTAATTATTGTAATCAGGAGCTCCGCTTTTAGGCTTGGCTAAATCTATATATACAAAGAGATAATAAGTGTGGTTCAGACCTGCAGAATGCCTGCACTGTTAATTCACTCCTCACACAGGATTCTTGGGACATTACAAACAGTACTGTCAATCTTATTGTGTAAATCATAAATAAAAAGCATGCTCTTGAAACCGAAACATTACTGGATTATTACAAGTATTACTGGTTTAACATGATTGTTATACTTTTGTGTAAGTAGTCTCAAGATGATTATAACTAGTTTGTAATGTCTGGCCATTCGTTTGAGACTGTTAGAACCATTTAGGTATGGCTATGAAACAATAAACATAAACAAACTAGCCGTTGGCAATATGATTGGTCTACTAAACAACGAGGTGAATGCTCGTGGATTATGGTTGGTTTAACATAGTCAGAGTAAAGAGTACATAATTATGTTGCTGAGTGGCTTCTCTCTTTGACACCACTCACTTTTTAGCATTCTGATTGGTTAATATAGAACAAGGCTTTCTCTATATTAGGGATATTTATAGTCAGAAACCTTTTATCTTGTTTTGGTCTCCTCAAATTGTTTGCAGATGAAACAAATCAGGAACACTTGGGGAAACAGATTTTCATGATCAAATGAAAATAGCTGTTTTAACAACTGATATAGTCATCTGTGGTGGTATCAGTTCATAAAAGCACATGGGGTGTAACTCATATGAGACACTGCTTTCTGTTGCAGTACCTCAAATAGCAGGAATATTTTCATTTAAGGCTCATTTCTGTTGTCTATGAATATGTCTTGCTGGAAGACACATTTTAAATACTATGCAATTATTTTTCTTTAGTACCCATAGAAATCTTTGGGAATCGGTGAGCCAGTTCACAAATGCTATAGCCTATGTGGATATTGACAATGTTCAGGATGAGGATGGTAAGAAAAATTCCTGTTTTTTATTGCTGTTAACAGGGGAAATAAAATCTCTCCTAATTAACCTATTGTGATTGACGTCTGTGCCACCGGTAACTGCCCGTGACAAGCGGAAAAGGAGGAAAAGATCTTTCCAGTGATACCCAGATCAGAGTGATTGGGTCAATTGAGCACGAAAAATACACCAAAGAATTTCCCGTCTCAGGAATTCTTGAACTGGAAGCAAGCTGAGTAGAAGTTCAACAACTGCAGCAAAAGATAAGAAAGGGACAGAAAGGAAAGGCAAAAATAAGAAATAAAACATTGAGAAGCCTAAAGATTTAGGTCACTTTCTCATCTAAAAACTGTCTCAAAGTTTTGATTTTTGCACATACCCAAGCAAAAATGTCATAAAACGTGATGCTAGTGGAAAGAAAGGCATGTTGTCATGTTACAAATGCCTTTTTGAGTATATTGGAACTAATTTAGCTCATTTTCATGCTGAAAATGTCAAAAATGTACAAAAATCCATTTTGCCAAAAATCTCCAGGTGTAAATGGGTTGAGTAATTGGTTGTAAATTTGCATGACCGTGGTGGGGTAACTGGTGAAAACTTTGCATGATCTTCAAAGGTCTTAGAGAAAAGATGATGAGGATCTTAAAAAGATTTTGGCCCTAATTCTGAGAAAGATCTTTGCTAAAATTTAGCCAGGATTTTAGAATAAGTTCTTACAGGATCTTGCAGCATCCTTGAGGAATTTTGAAGTAGATTCCTTTACGATTCAGGACAAAACTGTTCTGGATCGACGTTTTACAACAAAAAATTAAAACAAGCAAAGTGACGCAAATAATTTTGCGATTGTCTTAAACTTTATTTAATTCTACACATGGAAAATTATTTTCAAATAGATCACGCAAGGGAGACTTGCGTTACAGCGTAGCCAACTGTTGGTAACTGAATCACAAAAGTATGCAAGATCACGTGATTTCTGAGAAAAAAAAGTACCATTTGAAGTGTTGTTTTGCGAAGAACATCGTTACGTGTTTATGGATTTTTTTTGTCAATAATTTGACAAGAAAGCGTGAGAAAGACTTTACAACTTATTTGCCGACTGAAATGCGATATTGTCTTCAGACAGTGATCTTCGCGAAATCGGTCTTCCACCTGTGTTGAAGATGGCGGCCTTTAGTTCGTACTTTGTACAAACCACAATTGCACAAAATGCTGTTGTGTCAAAGCATTGTCCGCCAAGAACCTCAGACAATCTTATTTGTGCTTTTCGGAAACATGCCGGAGTGGGCAGGAGCTTGCCATTTCTCGCATTTTCTTGCCATAAGAATTTATTTGTTTTGCCTTGTTTGCCTTGTGGCCCTTCGGTGGTAGCACCACAACCTGAATCTTTGATTCGCCATACCGCTTATGTATCACAGCACTATTGTGCTCTTTGGATGGATTATTGCTCCCTTTGCATCTCATCGAATACAAAACAAAAAAATCCACAAACACGCAATGATCTTCTTCGCACAACAACACCGGTCTACTAGGATGTCGGTGAAAAACACAACTATTTCCCTTAGAAATCGCGCGATTTTTCGTACTTTTGTGATTCAGTTAGCAAATTTAAATACGTTGTAACTAAAGTCTTCCTTGCGTGATCCATATGAAAATAATTTTCCACGTGTAAGGTTTAAGACAGTCACAAAATGATTTGCATAACTTTCCTTGCTTTAATTTTTTTGCGATATATAATTTCATTAACAAGATTTGATGTGTTTTAAAAACAGTTGGAGTTGAGGTTCTATGTCATGTTTAATGTAGTCAATCATATAGCAGGCCTGTATGTCATGCCCTAGGTAATGAGATAGTAACCCTTTGGGAAGATGAATTTCTTGCTGGATTTAAGCCATTGAACAAAGCCACCAGACAAATGTGTAAAGTTTCTGATGTACAGAACAAGGTAAAGTGGACACTGTTGATTTTTAGAAAAGTAAACTACAACAAATTACATGTGAAAATGTTCTATGCCAAATTTATAATGATGATCGTATTAGTACACATGACATTACAGTTGTACACTCTTGATAGATAGGTCAAGGCAAGCAAAAAGTAGTACAAACATTTCCTACATCTAATTCACTAGCTTTACCTTAGTGATATAATTAATTATCAACTGCAGATAGCTGTTAGTTTGAATTCTGCAGAGTAAGTGGAATTCCTTATGTTTCTTGTAGAACCTGGCTGAGGACTATCTCCGTTGCCAGTGTCTGAAGGGTTTTGCTGTTTTTCTGGTCTCCTTGGAAAACCCTCCTTTAGAATTTGATGATGAGAAGGGAGAGTTCTCTGCAATGATAAAGAGCACTCCAGTGTCACCTGTTAAGGGGTCAGCAGACTCAGTCACAGTTCACTTGGACACATCACGACATGACGAACATGAGGTTTGTAGCTGAGGATTCTACTGAGGTAGTACATGGTGTAACTGTGGCACTAGCTAGGTAATAACAGTAAATAGATTATTTAGTTTTTAACCAATGTTAACTAGTTTCTGAGTGGTAATTGGTTTCTAAACCTTCCCTTATTAACCCAAGGCAGTGACCAACTCCAAAATCCTCCATTGATAACAGTTCTGTTTGTTTCAGGAATCAGATGATGAAGGTGATGTGATTATTGAGAGCGAAGGTGAAGAGCTGGATTCAGGGTATGTGGTACAGTGTGACTTATGATCAGCCCACTGTGAGCGTCAAGTGAGAACAAATGAAGGTGACCTTTTCTTATGAACGAACCAGTACTCTGTGTTGAAAAATACGACAATTACAGTGTTCTGCAAGAAATTGGAAATCCAACAAAGTTAAAGACCACTCAGGAAACTTTGTAATTCTTTTGATAGTCAATTTTTAACAGCTTTCAACAATTTCAATGTGGTAGTCACGAGCAGAAATGAGTAATTAATTTGGATTTCATAAATTATGATAATTTTCCATCAAGGATGAGCCTGGGTGAGATCCGGATGATTACAGTATGGAAGCATAGACTGTAAACATATTCAAGTAAAACAGTTCTTTATTTGCCTTACAGCCATATCAGAGTACTTTGTTATTGTAATTTGTAATTTGTGATACGTGTTATTTGTTAAGACGTGTTACTTTAAATTAAAAAATAAATAAAAAAAATTAAAAAAATTTGCCTTCACTTCATGTAAAATTATGTTGTGGAACAGTAATGTCTGGGTGGGTCGTCTTAATTGATCCATTTCCGAAAAAGATCACCATTCATGGCATTCATTGTTCTCAATTAACGTTTTCATAAGTCAATTTTCTTCCAAGTGGCCCAGTTCAAGTAGTTGCAATGTAACAAACCTTCTTTCATGTTGTATGTTGCTTTTCAACATACATGTACTGTTACTACTAACAATACCATGTTACAAATTAACATAACATGGGTTGCACTTTCTTGCAAAACCTAGCCTAAATCCTTTGAGCTTGTTGTTGGAAACCTGTTTCAATCTCTTTCAATCTTAACCTACCCTGCACCTTTTTGATTTGTTTTGTTACTTAGATATGTTATGCTGTCCAGAAACTGGAGTTTATAGTGTAGTTAAGTTAATGTGTGGCTTGAGTTAGACGGGATAATAGTGCTATTGTTCAACAATTTGACAGATCTTAGCTTTCATCCGTATTTTTATTAGCTTTCCAGCTGGCTTTCTCACTATTCCTAACAAATCTTTGCTTTAATAATTTTCCATAACAGTGATGAGGTGGAAAAAGACGTAAAGGAACTCAAGGTAGGGCTTTAGTCGATATCTTGGTACCAGACAACTGGATTTAAGATCATTCACAGCTTGATTTGTGGCATAGCTATGTATATTGGTTTAGTTTTGCACTTGAGGGAAGCACTCTACAGATAAAGTAGTTTACAGCAGTAGAACATTTATCTTCTATAATGTCTTTTGTAGGCCAAGAAAGATGCCCTAAAAAAACAAGCGGAAGATCACAAGGAGAGAGAGGATAAAGCTAAAGTAATCCATTACTTGGCCTTTACTCCCTTACTCTAAAGATGATTGCAATATTATAGAGCTACAACTTCCCAGTGCTGTGTTTGCTTGACAAACATTTCCCCTTCTCTTGGAGCCATTAACAAAACCCAAAACTGTTTCTTGAGTTAAGAGTTCCATTTCGCTTCTTCCTCTCCACTGGACTTGGCAGAAATTTACCGCCGATATTTTAAAGTCCCGATTTTTTAAACCAATTTTCTTTTCGCTGGGCTGTTCGAAAGTTTGGATTCCGAGTAGTTTTAATGGGAGTAGTTTTAATGGGACTTAAGCGCGAGAGATACAAAACATGAACCTAGGTCTGGACTTTTCTGTGGTTTGCGGCAGGCCCTGACAGTGTCATTCTCCAAAATTATAAATTCATGTGTCTGTCCGCTCATTGACAATGAAAATTAGCCAATGAGCACGCGATAATTTGTGCAGTTATTATAAAAAATCAATACTCCTAATATTTACCTCGTATTACTGAATTTGGAGTTAGCTTTAGCCGAGTGAGTTAAAAGGCTTTATATCTCATCCACTTGTAAAGTTTACAGTAGGTTTTCCTAACTTTGCTAAACATAATTTCCAGGATCGTTTACTTTTCCTTCTCACGAGAGCATTTCAGAATATCTGGAGGATATATAATCTAGGGATAGCTTATGATTTATAGTGTTCTTAGTTCCCATGTGACTCAGTGAAAGATGTCCAATTCAGCTAGTAATTGATTTTATTTAGTTTTGTCCTGTTAATAATAACGGCGTTTTATAAACACAGGCTGTAATAGAGGAGCACGTTTCTAAGCCACGTTTAATGTTCGAGAACTATCCAGCATACCTGGTGCCTGATACCAACTGTTTTGTGGATCATTTGGATGGACTCAGGGCTATTGTAGCCTGTCAGGCTTTCACTCTTGTTGTGCCTCTCATAGGTAAGCCAGTATTGCTTCAGATAGTATGTGTTTATGCCAACTTCCCCCATATAGCTTGGAGGAGTCTGATCCTGAAATCACCTTTCGTAAGAGCGACTCTCTATAGGGACCGAATGAGACTGAAAAAATGTGGCACAAGTTTGGAAAAATGGACCCCTTGATACTTCGTCCACAGATAACCTATGGTATGCTAAGAATCGTGATATAAGACTCAGTTTCTAGAGTTTTTACATTTTTGAGAAAAAGGCGAAAAATCGTCAACAACCCGTGAAGCCGAAAAATCACAGAAGTGAGGTCAAATTTCACGATCAGATAATCGACCTCGCGTGAAGGCGCATAGCAAATTATGGTTTTCCTTAGTTTATAATTTTATTTAGGAGGTGTTGCTAAGCTGCTTTGATGACATTTTAGACTTACAATTGTAATTCCGAATTCCTGGAGAGCAAGCGAAGAGAACCGAAGTTTCTAGACTTTGAAAATCAAAAATTCCATACCGTTTTCAAACATCTCAAAACATACTCAGTATTATGTAGAATTCTTTCAAAATTCGATTCTAGCGAGTTCAAGAGCTGTTTTTGAACGTGATATAACTTTTTTCTTGGCAAAAGTTATTTCTGAGGCGAGCGGCCCCATGCAAGTTGACCCAATTTGACCTTTCGAAGAGATTTTGTTTAATCAGGAAATGTAAGCAACTCAACTAGCCTAAACTCGCTTTCTGAGCAAACCGTTGAAAAACCCTGCCATTTCTCATTAAAACTACCCACAAACCTGAGATAATACTTTGATGACAGCTTACCTTCCAAATGGGTGTTTGAAGGCAAATAATTTTGATGNGTAGGGGGATAATAGAGAAATATTAAAAAAGTTGAAATCTGAATATTGTTTGTTCAATTTTTTTGGGGGGAGGGGGTCATCCCAAAAAAATGACCGCTATAAGGGGGGACCATGTGAAAAAATTGGTAAGCTGAGGGGGGTTCATGCGATTTTTAAACGGTGCTTCCCAAATCCCACCAGCCCCCCCTCCCTCATAAAAAATGAACGGTCCCTAAGTAAATTAATATAACTGTAAACGGCCGGGAAACCGGGCCAAAAAGAAATCGAATTATAATTGTAAGTCTAAAATGTCATCAAAGCAGCTTAGCAATACCTCCTAAATAACATTGTAAACTGCAGAAAACCATAATTTGCTATGCGCCTTCACGCGAGGTCGATTATCTGATCGTGAAATTTGACGTCATTTCTATGATTTTTCGGCTTCACGGGTTTTCGACGGTTTTTCGTCTTTTTCTCAAAAATGTAAAAACTCTAGAACCTGAGTCTTATATCACGATTCTTAGCATACCATAGGTTATCTGTGGACGAAATATCAAGGGGTCCATTTTTCCGACCTTGTGCCGCACCTCACGTGGTGGTTAGGGAGAGTGGCTCTTAAGTTGCCTCCAGCTCCTCTAGGGCAAATTGACAAGTTCTACGACACGGGCTCCACTTGTAAGCGGTTCCCGTTTGAACATAGCGCCACTGAGGGGTTTGAAGTGCGCAAAAAGAAACCTAGAATTTTTTTGTAGATGGTACTCTTTGTTTACAGTATTTCCAATTTGAAACTGGAGTTTTCTTGAAATTTCCTTTTTTGATTTTACTTTCCATTTTTTCCTGTCTTACTGTTGGGAATTCGCACGCAAGCGCTTTGTTTTGGTAGCAGCACTGGCGAGACAAAGCTAGACTTCGATATTCTTGGCAGTGAAAAGATGAAATACGGGTATTTATCAATGAATACAGTGTGTTGATTTATTTTGCTAAAAGATAACTGGGTTGGCTGATGCGTGTGTTGTTTCTCACTCAGTGATCAATGAACTTGACGGTTTGAAGAAAGATTTCCAGCCGTACAAATACAACAATCTACAGCATGCCCAGTACGTTCTGGAGAATGCCAGGTCAGTTGTATATGAGAAGTAAAATGTCATGGTTACTCTGTAAAATAGGCAAGTGTCTATGAGAGATTTTGCAATTTTAAATTCAAAGTAATCTGGAATTGCGTTTGTCAATGACAGGTTGAAAAAACTTGCATCACCTACTTAATGAGATGATGCAAAACCAAAAACAATTGCTGCTTTGGTTTTTGGGCTTTAGAGACCTTTTGACTCTCAGTTGAAAACCGCTCCATATATTTGCCAGAATGAAGTTATTGTTTTTTTTTTTTGTTTTTGTTTTTCGGCTGTTGACAACATCACTCTGTGACCGATTGATTGTCAAACAGCCAACTTGAATTTTTGTTTTGATGTAACAAAAGTAGGATGGTCAAACAAAACAGAAAGGGCACGAAGAACACACAAATTATTTCAGTTAATATAGTAAAACACAACCTGGAAGTCAGCATCCTTGATTTAAAGCACTGAAGAAATGTGTAAAACAAACTGGATTGCCTCATTTATGAGATTTTTTTTTCAAGAGAACTAAACCAGATCTAAACACTCAGTCTGACTCTGTCCGTGCACAACTTTTGACGTAGAACAATGTACTCCCAATTTTCATACCTATACTTCACCTCATTTTTTCTCGTAGTTCCATAATCATATTTCACAACACTCACATTTTGAACTTGACAATGCTGTCAGGAGGATGGGGAAATGTTCGTTTCTGATTTCTCTAGTTCTTATTTTAAAATGTTCCTCAAAACTTCTCTAATCGGAATCTACATTAAGAAAAAGAAAGGCTGGTAAGACATTATGAAGTAGCGGGCAACAGAAATTTTTCTTTTTTGGATAGTCATTTCACTGGTTATGTTCTACAGGTCTGCAATTGACTTTCTTGAGAACGAGTTCAGTCAGAGAAACCCTCAGGTAAAAACAGTCACCAGCAAGGGCACTGAACTAGATACCATAGCATTCAGAAGTGAAGATCCTTCAGGAAGGAAGGTAAAGTGGCTTCACAGTCCTAACTGACTAAGTCTGCCAATTTTGGTAGGAATTCAGCTTGTTCCTAGCTCGGATATCGTGGGAAAAAAAAAAACGACGGAATGGCAGGAGATCAAAGAGGAGGTTCCTGTCGTGGTTGGAATGGAAGGGTATGAAATCCAATGTGGTACGCAAGCTTTCGCAATAATTTCACAAAATTATGAATTATGGAAACCAAGATTCTCACTGAGAATTGACAAATGGCCAAAGCTGACGACAAATGAACCAAATGATTTTGAAAGTTGATATTGCTATCCCATGCCCAGAGATAGTTGTGGCCAGGTTAACCAGCACTTAATCTACGGTACTTGCCATGGTTACGCTAGACTGGCCAACACTTAATTTGTCTATGTTGGCTGTATTTTAGGGTAAGAGCTGCAATGATGACATCATCCTTTCATGTTGTTTGCACTATTGTGAAGAAAACTTTGTAAACCGATTGGCCACAGGTACAGTTTTGTTCAGAGTGTTTGTCTTTATACAAATACTACAATAACGTGAAGAGTTTGTCTTCTGATATCCTGTTTTTATCTTTACCAATCGCTGTGAAACACAATGTTCATATGTGTACTATCATATATACCATGTATGTCATATATCATCTTAATGTTGGCGTTAATTAGAAATTGCTGTTGATCAGCTCATATAGGCTTGGAAGAGCGTTGAACTATCTTGTATTAAACAGTGCCCCAAATCCTCCAATGTAAAACTGCATAGAAATCGCTTATGAGTTAGTGAAAAGCAGCCTTGAGACCAATTCTAGTTCCTATAATTATCTTTTTATATATTCTTATTGTATGGCAAGGTAGTCTCGAGGTAAATCCTAGCATTCTTTTGGTTCTTTTGTGGTCGGGATTTGCCATACACGGAAACGGTCATAAGCCATGCATTTTTTTTGTTTTCGAGCGACATATAAGAAACTACTTACTAACCTAGCTTGCTCGAGCTGTACTGGGGAATATTGGCCCTCGGTCGTTTTTGCACGGACCTCGCTGCACTTGTTCCGTACTGTCACGACCCCGGGCCAGTAATTCCCTGTGCGACCCTCGTACTCGGTTAGTAAGACTAGAGGTTATTATTTTTCCCAGAAAACAAGCCAATAACTATCCAGAGGAAAGTTGTTTTGATGACAAATGACAGGAACCTCAGAGTGAAAGCGTACACCAGAAATGTTCCTGTGCTAACAGTACCACAGTTTAGGAAAATGGCCAGGCTGTGAGAAGAGCTGCAGCTATGAAGGGACCTGGGTCCCGTAACCAACATACGGCATCATCAGGTCGGAAAATAAATATGGCACAATAACAGCTGCTATCAGGGAAAAGAAGCTGATTCCTGACTACTGATTGGAAAGCCAAATTTCGGTGCCTATCAAGACAACATCTGTGAAGGACGAATTGTACAGGAGAGGACTTATCGACACCTGCATATATGCATGGTTTAAAAAATGCTGCTACAGGACAAACGCCGCTTTATGAAACAAGATTATTTTACATATAACATTATTTGGTCATTTTAAGCCTTGTAAATGATAGAGAAAGGTGAAATACATTGCTGTCCAGTAGATATTTATGCAGTGTGTGTGTGAATTGTCACGTATATTGAAGTGTGCTAGCTGGTTATTCGTCTTTAGTAGAATTCTACTAGTATACTAATGCAAATGCTGCAGTCTGGTTGGTTGAGCAACTCGTACACTATCATCCATTAGTAGAATTCTACCAGTACACCAATGCAAATGCTGTAATCTGATTGGCTGAGCCATCGCACACTATCAGCCATTAGTGTGCAGTGCCGGGCTTAGCGTGGTCGACAAAATTGCAACGTTTCCTCGTTTCTCCGACGTTTTGAAAGAATATTTAGAAACAAATGGATAACAAAGCCAAGATTGCCACTATAATATCGCTTGTTCGAGGACGATTTTAGAATATGATGCTTCTGATGTTTTACTTAAATGTTTACTCGTTTTCACTGATACCTAACTTTACGAGTAACCTGACCTCTGCCACGATGCACCCGAAGTTCAGCCTTCGGGAGACACCTGGAAACCATGAGCGAGGACACAGAGGTTAATCCTAACAAGCCTGGACCGATTTTATTATTTACTGCGTAGCTTTTTCAGCTGATTTACAGGCATCACCGTTGTGATGTGTTTATTTTGTTGAAAATTGTTAATGCTGCCCGAGACAATAGAAAGTTAACCATGGTAAAAGTGTGATTTACCCTGTGATCAGGCAGGTTGGTAACAAAGGTTGACATGACAGATATTTCCACTTGTGGTCACACAGTATCTCGCATCCCGTGGTGTCCAGATTGCATCAATCTCAGTCAGTCATGTTTTAACGACCACGTTTTCAACGTTTGTTTTCGATCTACATACTAGTCATGGCAAAAAAAAGTAAGCCAAATCCGGAGTAGCCATTCGGACAATATATTCTAACGCAACTCTAGATATTCTGAAGTTCTTTTTCACCATTTTTCAACGAAATTTCCGTGTAAACGGGTTTCAAACCAGAATTGGTTTCGCAGCCATGACCACGCACGTCTAGCGCGTAATTTTCGGCGGAACCAAGTGACAGCCAGAAATACGTCTGCGTTTGCAGGCTAATTTGATCGTGATTTATGACAGGTTTAACTCGGTTATTTGATCCAGTATAAACACCGTACAATTTTACCAAGGTTTAGTCAATATTTGCTTCGGTAAATGCTCAAGGACCTCAAGTATAAACACAGGGTTAACAGAATCAAATATCAGAATCTCTTCAAGACCAAAACCTTAAAACTAATTAAATGAAATTAGAATGAAGATTTCGAGTTTTAAAAATCAAGGGCTTGTACGCCCTAGGCCAATATTTGTTCATTTTGGAAAAAATTTTCTCATCAGTTCTGCGATATAAGTGCTCGCAGTTCTTTTGTCCTACTAAGTTTAGTCAAACCTTATCAAACTTAAAAAGCGGCGTTGTCCCGCTTTGGAGTAGGACAAATTTTTTACAGGTATGAAAACTGACAGATTTTTCAATTCATAGAACACCATCAGAGGGAAAACTGTCAGCCTTTTATTAAAGTTGATTTCGCTTTGATCTCTCTTTGATCTTTGATCTCACCATGTGATTCACACTTTGTGGTAAACAAACATTGTACTGCTTTTGATTCCGATCATCACTATAATCTGTTTTACAGACAGTCTACACTGCCCGTATATATCAAGAACTTCGTGACACATCCAGTCCCACCACAGGTTACCACTACGACCATCTTTGGTCAAGATTTTTGATAGAGTCAAAGAAATTTTGTCAGCATAGTGCAGGCTCTTAGTAACAGCTGATTTCATATGATTGGCATATGGCATACTAATGTACAAAATGTTATGTGTTGTAGGTGTGACAAGCTCCTCCTCCTGATGTTGTCGGATTACTTGACAAGCCACAAGATGCTTTTTAACCCTTTTTAACTCATTCATGCGCGCATGCGCAGTGAATGAGTTTTAGCAATAGGGGACTTCATCCGGGAATTTGCGTGGACTTTTAACCGGCGTAGACGGAAGTTGATTTTTGCTGATGTTAACCGGAAATAACGGTGCGAGAAGAAAGAAAGCGAAGCGCACTGAGTGAGGCTCGAACTTGCCTCATTCCTAGGCCTCAATATTTCGCCGCGGTCAATCGTTTCGTGTCCCGTGGTCCGGGCCGTTCGTCTGGGATACGTCAACGAAATCAACTGACCGCGAAGGCCTAGGAGAAAGCCGTACGGGAACTAGGCAAGGCTCGAAATAAAAAAAAAGGCGAACTTGGCCATCAACATTCCCGCGTTGACTTATGCCAAGAAACGTTCTATATAGCTGGGGTGTTAGCGCTGGCCATCTGAAAATCCCATGTCATCGCCGGTTGTTTTTACGGATGTTCTCCATCGATGCCAGATGGGATATATATATTTGCCGAAGGCGAGGTGAACATTGGTGAAAATTCACCAATGTTCACTGAGCCTGAGGCGAATAATTGTTTTATTATAATTTTCAGAGGTGAATATCAAGGACTACAAAACGACAGACTAAAACATAAAACACAGACGCAATACACGTATGCAGCCGTGCTTACATGTACATCGATTGTGAGTCAATTTACTCATCGAGTTCGGCAGTAAAACGAAAGAGCGAACCACTACCTTTGTTTTATCGTTGTTGACTTCGTTCACAGTTGTCATCATGGTCTAAAGATGAGTAGCTTTAATTTGGAGGAAAATAAATTTCGGTCAATCGTCTGAGCTGCTGACGATCAACGTAACCACTGCGTTTACGATTCTTAAATGCCTTGAATACGAGTTCTTGAAGAGATTTTTGGTCCAAGGACGACAGCAGTCATTTTGAAAATTCTTCATCCTTTCAAATATCCTGGACTTGAATTGATGTTTTTCAAATGAATGAAAATTTCATTCAGCAACTGTCCACCATGTTTACAAAGAGATGGCAAAGGCAGCGAGCTTTTTTCTTATGGTTTTCCAAGGAAATTGTGCGCGGGGCCCTACGGGTCATATGATAAAGCGTCGTATGCCGAGCTTTTCGACCAATCAAAATGTCCAATTCTTATATTCACCTCTGGAAATTATACTAAACTGTATTAGTTGTTGATAAACAGAGTGAATTTGGTTGGAAGTATTGAAAAATTCTAGAATTTGTGAAGCACAAATTATTTTCGAGATATTCCTCTATTACGGCTCAATGAGTGTAAGCTCCTCAGCTCAAGGCAGCCATTGTGGATTTTCACTTCCTGCTTTTGCGATTTCTGGTGAGTAAATAGTGCTTTCTTTAATTGTTTGAATTTTCTTAAGCAAAACATACAGCCCACACGTGAAATCGAAGCGACCCAGAACTAAACTAAAGCCTGTATCAGACTTAGAGTCTAGAATAATAAGACCAAAATGGCCAAAATCGATACCCTATTTATGACCAAGACGGCTGAAAAACCCTACCGTTTGGGGCCGCACATACCTATACNCCCCCCTCGGCCATAAATCATAAGGTAAGTTATCATTCCATCGTTAGGAGAAACTGAAAACAGAATACCGCCCATGCCCAGGGAAAGGGTTAGAGTCATTATTTTCCTGTTTTTCTGGTGTTCATCAAGTTAAGGTTTGTTATAACTCATTGAGATATTTATGCCAAAAACGTTGAATGATGAAAACGCCCGTTCTGTTTGCCGATCTTTAAACAAACGTCCTCGGCGTTAACCCAGTTTTTTTAACAGAAGTTTGCTTGAAGGTAAATTTTTTCATACAGGCGGGGAAAACTTCAGCGGCAATGGTCTAAAAAGAAGACAACAAACAATACTGCTCCAAAATACAGTGAATGAAAAACAAAGGTGAAAAAAATGCGATTCGTTTACCGCCGCCCAGAAAGCGGCAAAATCACATTATTAATCATCCTGCTTTTCAACGCGGTTTCTTTGCATGCGCTCTATTTAAATTTACCGCGGTTTCTAACCGAGCAGTAACAATTCAACTAGTTTTAACGAACGTTCCAAGTATGGTGCTAATCACAGACGTTCCTCTACTCCTCCTTTTATGTTGCTTCCTCGGCTTGTTTCGTCACTTCAATATACATGAAAGCCTCCTATTGATTCAGATCCTTCGCTTAACCTACCTGTTAACCTCCAGGTACATGTACTTTGCCCTGTACTTTTCTTGTCATCTGCCTCATGGGCAAGAAAAAGTTAAACCAAAAAGTTTTTGAGTTTCCCCTCCAATACTCAATAGGCAATTTTGAAGTTACCTTTTGCCTCTGCATCAAAACATGTCTTTGTGTGGAACCGTTCATATGAAAATGTGTTCCCCCTACAAATTTATTTTCGTGAAAATCAACACCATTTTCGACAATTGTCAAACGATGAAGTGGGAGTGATGTTTTTTTTTACTATTTCCTGCAAAATTGTCCTGCACGAAAGATATACAGTGAAACCCCGCCATACTACCACCTCTTTAATCTGACTACTTCGCTATTAAGACCTCTTTTTACTGGCCAAAACGAATGTCTAGTCATTTCCTTACTTTACCACCTTGTTAATACGACTACCCCGTTATTGCAATCAACGGCCATGACCCCATATTCGCAATTTTGCCTTGTTAAGGTGGTATGGTACTCTAAATTGGACCAAAAAGTTTGTTTAACTATCGTGAAGAAAAATCAATTGTGTGCTATTGCACTCAAGAAGAGAAATTGAATTTTGAAAGTTTTACTCAAAATGGTCGCTATGGAAACCAGCCACAGCCTTTTGAGGTAGTGTTTTACAGTATTGACGCCAACACTTCCTGCTCTTTTACAAAACAAGATTTGACTGTCAAACAAGCATATCGTGTAAGTTTCTGTTTTGTTCTGTGCAATGAACCTAAGTTTTGACAGTTAACTCTTATTTTCAGTGCTTTTTACGAGCCTTATTTGGAAATAACCTTACTTTATACCACACCCAGTGGACCGATCATCTCATGTCACGTGACAGACGTTAAACTGTTACGGTTTTTTTGGTTTATATCATCACGACACTTGGTCTTTGATTAGCCCAAGTTTCAGGAATTCTACTTAAAAACGTTGCAAAGTAGAAATGTTGGCGCGAAGTCAGTCGGTACAAAAGTAAACATTTGAGAAAAATGCACTTTAAGTTCCTTACACGAAGTATTAATAGCATTTAACAAGTCACAAATAGCGGGGAGTTGCAGATTGGATCTCGGGGGAGGGGGTGCAATGGTTCTATTTTGTAAAAAGTTACCGCAGATGTGGGAAATATCCCTTTTCAGAAGGGAAATGAATGAGCCCGTGATGGCAATTCGAAGCAAAGCTTTTCAAAACTAATTATCGAGTTTAGCCTGCGAATAGGCTCCTGGTGAGCCCTGTTCCCGCCCCGATCGCTTCTCGCTCCGAATTCTTCTGTTTCGCGCTCGCCGAAGTTTTTTTTCCGTCCTCGCCGGAAGCCTGTTTGCAGGCTAAATCGAGTTGTGCATGTCTTTAAAGTTTTTTTCCAAATAGCCTCGTTCATATACATTAAAACTAATCTATATTTTTGGTCACGTTCTTATAGTAAACAGTCGTTGCTATGGCCGTTGCTACGTGAAAAAACTTATACCACTGTGTACTTTCCTTAAATTTCACAGTCATCTAGAAGAACATTCGGCAAGATCGTTTCAAAATGTTTTTGACAAGTCCTCAAGGGTCTTAAGTCTTGTATTTCCAAGATATTGAATTTTTCATGAACATCGCCATATTTTAGGGTACCATACCCCCTTAAGGTCATTCGCCAGTATTGCATTGCGCATCCCTACTGCGCATAATTTCACGCGTGATTAGCGCGCGCACATTAAAAAATGGCGGCTTTTTCTTTACAGCTGGACCTCGCCATAGAGGAAAATCGTCATTTTCTCGCAAACGAGTATGGTGACCTATCATTTTTTTTCTGTTGTTTTGAGTTGAGTAATAAATTTCTCTGTGTAAAATAAATATGGACCAATTCTCAGTGTAAAACAAATAGCAATCGTCGGAAACGTGAATTTAGCAAGCAATCGTGACTACTATCATGGTGCTATTATAAGGATTTATATGGGTGTTAACAAGGTCCTGTTGCTCCTAAATGAACATGGGGACCCCTCATTTTTATTCCAAAATTTAAGTTCCTATAATATAAACAATCAATAGGCAAAGTTTTACAAAAATCTCAGTGCAGGTTCTATTTCAGTGGAATGACTTTAATACGACTAGGAGAATTCTTTCTGAAACTGGGTGGCAAGCGTCGAGGGTAGACAGCTAACAGAAGAGTTTTAGTGCGTTATAGCATTCAAATAATGATCCTAAAGTTAGACGGTTCAGAATGATAACGAGACGCTTTCCAAGGGTCAGGTATTCAGGGTTCAGCACCTGACCATGGAAAATTATTCTTCCTGTTATTGCATAAACCTCATTTTCCAATACTACGTAGTAACCGTACTTGGTCGCATACCGCGCGCGCATTAGCCCCTGGGACACTCCCCTATATCGCCCACACGGGGTAGGGTCAGGGTATGGTTCTTAGCTCTTCTGCCGGAACAAGGTATAATTCTTTGTGCGAGTCTGTAGGAAACAGGGCCCGAACCTCTCCTAAACGGGGCATGATTATAAGAACTTCGACGTTCAATATGGTTTCATATACAGTTTTAACAGTACTACGGATTTATGACGAAGATCTAGATCAGCGGGAAAACTTCATAAAATGTATTAGAGATACTGTAAGCCAAGCATTGCAAGCATCACAAAGCTTTGCTGTGCCAACCTCATAAAGACGCTTGTGAACGCGATCACTGTTGTAACAGAGGTGAAAAGGGAGGCGAAAAGAGAGAAAAGGGGCAAAAAGGCAGCTATTGTGGTATCCGTTTTGTTGTTTTGCAAAAGAGATTGCTGTTAGATGTAGTAAAGGCTGCATAAACTACCGTACACGCAGCAGAGGCCCTGTACGCATGCGCACAGCCTCTAACAGGTGCATATCCCCAAGCAGCCATAGGTGTCAGCTGTTTTATCCTCTTTGGTTCTCGTCAGCAAATGTTTTGGTGCTTCGATTTACTTTGACATCATAGCAAAGCTAGATATTGTCTTTTTAATAATTTATAGCTTGTGCAATGAGTACCGCTGGGTTTGCATTTGCCTTAGGGCATGAAAAGCATGGGGCATTGTGGGCAAGCAAGTTGCAATTTAGTTTCCAATGTAGTTAAGAAAACAGCAAAGTCAAGTCAAACGCAGTTAAGTACAAGTTCCCAGTTATCGGACTGGGAACTTGTACGGCGGCATGACAATAAAGCTGATAAAACACACAAGCATTTAAGAGCTTCTGCCTGAGAGACCGGGGCAGACTTGGAAATGAAGGTCGGCCGATTTCGCTTAAAATTGGTACACAAAGTCGTTATGTGGACTTATGTAATATGCCAAAGTTTCAGGTTCAACGAGCATTTTTTAGCCGAGTTCTGGATATCAGCCCCTCAGGGGTCCCCAGAGGCTGATTTTTAGTGTAAT